ACACACACACACACACACACACACACACACACACAATATCCTATCCTAACATACATTATGATATTACCGATAATACCGTCTACAATAAAAAACATAGTTAAAGTCAAAGTATTCAAGGCGCATAGCAAGGGCCTCGGTGATTTTAAAAAAAAAAAACAGAAAATAAAAATGAAGTTAAGAATAAAAAGTAAGAGTGACATTGCAAAAGATTAGTGCAAATTGCATTAATACATAATATGTACGCTATGAATTTAAGAAACAGCTGCAAGAAGGTATATATATATATATATATACTGCAGGTTTTGAAGGATCCTTGCCATATAGGGTTCAAAATCAAACATTTTATTAGCAACTGTCGTATTAAAGTCCGTTTGAAGACAGACAGATTGCTTTGAAGCTCATTCCAAATTTGTGGACCTCTAGAACAACCCCAAGTTACTCAGAGATTCACGTTACACAGGAGCTGTGTTAACAGTGTCTACTGTAGCCTAAAGCCTTCCTCATCCCTCAGCCAAAGATAAGAAGCAAACTGCAGAACTTTGGTAACATTTTTCTCCGTTTCAAACTTGAGCTGACGCCGAGTTTATCACGCCCAGCAGCTCTCCCTGGAGCATCGAAAGGTTTTATCTATTTAAGTGTTTAAGATTTAAAAGATTAGATTAAAAAAACATGCATAGGAATAACCCGAAATATCTGTAAACTTAACTTGGATATAAAATGAATTCCCAAAACTACAAAACGTTTGTTGTTGGAAAAAAGTACAGAAATAATTCAGATTTGCTACACTGTAAGCTACATCTTTAAAGACCTCACTCACTCTCAAAAACGACCAACTCACTGTCGCTCCGCCTTTAATTCCGCCAACTCCAAGATCAGCGCGCATCACCAGAGAGAGAGAGAGCGAGAGAGACCTAGTGAGAGTGAGTGTGCGATAGAGAGAGAGTAAACCACTGCCAAAGCCGATTACAGTGTATCAGGACTGCGACTCTGTGTCCACTTAAGAGGGTTCTTCCCTCTGTGAGCGGCACGCCTCTCGCTTTCTCTCGCTTTTCATTTGTTTGATTCTAAAAGCGAAGGATGGATTTATTTGAGTGAATGCGGGACTCGGGCATCTTTACTATGAGTTCCTCTGCAGAAGCGCTTCCGTCAGCGGGGCAACTTTTCTATGCACCACGGCGCCGCTGAGCCGCCCGTCGCTCTGTGGCAAAGTTTCCACGCAAGCCCCGGGGAACATGGGCTCGCGGTGAACGCACCGGTTGTCGCACTTTCTTTTGTCTACACAACAGTACGACAACATGCAAAAGAGCGTCCGCTACAACGAAGGGCATGCGCTATTTTTGTCGGCGGTCGCGCGTAAAGATGGGACTAAGCGCGGCTACCTGAGCAAGAAGACGGCGGAGAATAGCCGATGGCACGAGAAGTTCTTCGCCCTTCACCAGAATGTACTGTTCTACTTTGAGAACGAGCAAAGCGCGCGCCCTGCTGGGATTTACCTGTTGGAAGGATGCACCTGCGAGCGCGCGCCGGCTCCCAAGATGTCCACCACTGGGAAGGAGGCGCTAGAGAAGCAGGTGAGATTGAATGCCAACAGGGGAAGTCAAATCACCGAACCTTGCTGTGAATGAGCGCGTTCAAACGTCTAATGTCACCTGCCACAACTTTTAAAAACGCTGCATATCCCAATCCCACTGACGTCACTAACATCATAAACTGAGCCAGGCACTCAGTGTATAGAAGTGTGTCAAAAGAGAGGAAGATTACCAAAACCAGTCGTGGTTTTTCAAAGATATTTTGTATTGACTTACTTGTGTCGAGTGTTACACATTCTTATATTAATCAGAATTACACGATCAAATCTTCTCCTCGCTTTATTACAGACGGCAATATATAAAGAGCAAAGAGATCATGCAGCCTCAGACTAAGGTGCCTGCAGCAGCTCATCCTCTCTGCTCGCTTCAAAAAGCCCTGCAGTGAGAAGAGCTCGGAGTGCATCCTCCCAGAGCAGGTGACCATTCCCTGATGTGCCATAGAGAGGTGGGGGGGTGGGGGCACAAAGCTTTCACACCTCATATCTTTGTCCACAAGTTTAAAAGTCAAGTACTTCTTGCTGTCTTTGACACTATAGCTGAAACAGCTTTCTGTCTCCGTGAGGTCATGAGCTGCCAGTTGCAAAGACAAAAACTGAATGAATCAAGTAATCCCATCAGTTTAAAGGATTTATTCCAACACATGGGTTATTTTTGTTTCCAAATATGAATTATGAAAACCACAAGACTGAAAGATGTATGTAGCTTCAACTCAAATTCATGTCAGTCTGACAGAGTCCAACAAAACAGTGCAGCAACAGGTTCTTTGTCCAAGGATACTTGGCATGCAGTCAGAAGGAGCCCGGGATCAAACCACCAACCTTCCGATCAGCCTGCTCTACCTCCTGGGCTACACCCACCCCATGTAAAGTTTTATGTGTGTAACATAAAATGAACATATTCTATAAATCGTGTGTTCATCTTTTTTACTTCATTGCTGAACAAAACAACATTGAAGCTGTCATTAGCTTAGCTGTTGTTTGGTTTCTAAGAAGGATTTAGACTTGTGTTGTCTGGGTCAAGGCTGGCCAATCACTTATTACCTGTTGCCCAGAAGCTGCAATTTGAACTGAACTATTGGTTTGCTCTCAACCAGGCTGCTGTCTCCTACAAACATAAAGTCCATCTAAATGTGCAACTGAATTGCTGATCATTTGACCAAAGGTGTATTTAATCCCTGCACAACTGTTAGCCTACTGGAAACTTTGAATAGCTTTACTGTATTTTTGACAACTTATTGAAACTCTTGTGTATATATATATATATATATGCCATATATATTAATGTTTTAATAATAATAATAATAATCAAATCATTACAAGCAGCAGGAGCACAAGTGACCTAATTATTTTGCTGAACTGATAAATTGTAGCCCTGTGACTATGTGGTGGGCGTACCCCACCTCTTGCCTTATGAAAGATGGGATAGGCTAGAGCCCACTCCACCTTCTGCGAATTGGTTAAAAAGATGGACAGATGAGGATTAATTGGAAAATATAGACATGTTGGGTCCATATTTTGGCTGCAAAAGAAGTAAAATGAAAATCTACATTTCAGAATTTATGCTTGGAATGCAGCTGCAAATACCAGATGATCTGGATCTGTTTCAAAATGCAGCTAAATGATAGAGCAACAGCCCTCCTGTGACTGGAACTACAATTTCAAATAAACCTCTGCAAGTTAAAGTCAATTATTTCTATGCAACTTTAATTTGCAATACAGGACTCACTGCTGAATCCTTCAAATCTGAAAAGGGTCAAGGTTTAATACATTTACAGCAGGGAAATATTTTAGGGGGAAACTGTTGTGACAGAGCTCTTGGAAGTTGCCTCAGCATTGTTGCTCCGAGAGTTAGCACATCTTGTTGCTAGGAAACATTTGAATTAACATTTGAAAATGCATTTCATTGATAAAAATTAATTAATTAATTAAAACAATTGCCTGTTTTTTGTCATACACTGATTAATCTTAGGGCCATATCAATCAGTGAGTCAGTCTTATGGTGAAAAGGTTATAACAAAAAAGGCAGACATTGGCTTTATGGAAGAAAAGGGAAGCAGAATAATTCCTGCTCCTGATTGCAGTTTTTAGCAAACCTCGGGGACTGTGTGCCAGCGTCATAGCCATAAAAATGGAGGGGGAGGGATACACTGGAGAGTGCTGACTTTTTACTCTGTGAGGAAGTATTAAATAGACAGTGAGTGGATGCAAATTTAATCACGTAAGAGGTAAGGAGAGGTCAAAAAAAGCCAACCAATAATAATCACTCAACGATATCCATCTCCACCTACTAATACAGTTGATTTGAATATACAGAAAATTAATTCCAGATGTGTAGGAATAGAAGGATAGAGAGTAGGTCCAGCACTGCCGCTTTGAGTCTTTCTGCATGTTAATATGTTGTTACTATTGATGATTAAATGAGAATAAGTCTTGCTTTTGTAAGAGCAAAATTACATGTTGTTCCAGCTGCTAATATTGGCATTGATGTAGGCATAAAACCTGTCTCTTTTGATGTTAGAGAGCTTGGCAAGTATTATGTTGTATTTAAACCTTTTTTTTAAAAAAAAACATTCCCACTGACTGTCTCACTCTCTCCCTGTCTGTCTCACTTTCATACTACAGCTGTGATGTTTAATTAGGGTTATTTTCAATCTGACCTCAGCTGAAACCTCGAATGCTGCTAGTGTGTGACTGTTTAACTACATAGCTATGCACACAGGAGGAACAACATAACTCTGACATTTTGTCTGGCTCATGAGGCCGTGTGTGGGCTTTTGTGTTTCAGATGATCAACACTTCAGTAAAGGAGGATTTCCATGTTCAGTTTGATCCCGAGTTTTATCCCTTATGTAAGTGTTTAGTTCAGAATGACAGAGAAAAGCCTTCCATATTGCCATTAGTTGCTCTTTCTCCTCACTGTTAGTCTGTGCAGAGTGAATCAGCCAGCAACCTGCAGTATGACACCCCCACAGTGAGCCACAATAGAACCACACAAAGAACACACAGCCTCTCTCCCTTCTTTTCTCCCTGTTGTACTCCGATAGACACAAACCCTTCAAATAATTTGGAGAGCATTTACACCAGTCTGAATGGTTTCCACAGCGACTGTGAACCCGCTTTGCTTATGTGAATATGCATGCATGTGTAAAATATGTGTAAAAGGCTGCTACAATCAGCTGTGTATAATTGTCAAACTCTCCCTCCCCCCTTCATCAAGCGGCCAGTTGTTTATTGATTTTAAAGTGAAGCACAATTCATTAGAGGCCATGAACCAGATGACCATTAGTCACTGGTGGAGTCTCTCTTCAGCTTGTCACCCATATGTCAAACTGTGCTGAGCAGCTCATTGTGTTTGGTTCTGTAAAGGCCATTGTAAAAGCAAATAAGCTATAACCCTTGTGTTTGCACCAGGGTCTAATAAAAAATAATAGAGAGAACAGGAATGGTGATCAGGTGCAGGGACCGAAAGTTGTTAGAAGCTTTGAGAAGTTTCTTCAACAAAACTTGCCATAGTGGGAAAGTGAGACAGTCAGCGGCAATGTTTAAAAAAGATTATGCTGAATAAAAGTTTATAACAGAACATTTGTGGCAGTTTGTTTTTATTTATTATGTGGTCCCACATGTTTGTTCATCCTTGATTTGACTAAAAATGGTATTAGATAGGGCAGCGGTGGCAGCGTGGAGGTTAGCACAGCAAGACGGTCCTGAGTTTGAGTCCACGATCTGGCTTCACCCTCTGTGCAGAGTTTGCGTGTTCTCCCCATGTTTGCGTGGATTCTCTCTGTTTCTTTCTACTCCAACTTCCTCCCACAATCCCAAGTCATACTACACTCAAACTACAATTTCCCTACAGTTAGGCACTATTGGCTAGATTTGCCAGATGCGACAGTAAGTGCCTGTAATTTACAACATTACCTTACATAACACTGAGTAAACCTAATGTGTGGCTTGATCGAGGTTTGAGAAACACTGGTTGAGATTGTGATGTGACTGACTCAGTGGATTGAGATCTGGTGACTGTGGAGAACATTTGTGCCATGTTCAGGAAACCAGTTTGAAATCATCTGAGATTTTTGGCTTGGTGTGTTATCCTGCTGGAGGCAGCCATCAGAATATGAGTACACTGTGCGCATAAATGATTTGACATGATCAGCACTCAGATAGGCTGTGGCATTACCAATGCTCAGTTGGTTCTAAAGGGCACAAAGTACTTGAAGAACATTCGTAAACATTGACATTCTCGTGTTTAACTGTACAAAAACTGGGAACTCATGTTTACTGCTTGCTACATTTACACCTTTTAAATATCTATAAGTCGATCACAGGGAAGATCCCATGAAATGGCACAGCGTTGAGAGAGAATCAAAACTGACTTAAATGAAAAGGTTTTTAAAATTTCATAAAATTGTACAATAGCTTGCTGTTAATATCTTTTGTCTGTGAAGGAATAAATAATTGTCTAATAATTCTCACTTTTTGATCAGGAATCATATAATATTGTGGCTTGTTGCACTGTGTTTTCTAACCTCACATGTTTTCTAAAACCACAACATTTTAAGAAATGTTGCAATCAATTGTTTCCCTTTGCAGAGAGAACGAGACTTCTAAACATGAATATTTGTACAATTTGTGTTTGCAGCGTAGTTTGTTTGCTTTGAAGGAGACAGACTAATTGGACTACATTGGGATTGAATATTTCATAAGAATGGATGGGATGCATGGGAAAGGTGCAATCATTTATTTGAGTACTGTTTGAGTTTAATACAGTGTGTATGTGTAGCTACAGTATATTCACAGATGGGTTTCCTTTTACAAAAGTGAAAAGGTGGGGCGACACACTAGAGTTGAAGTGTCAGTGCTGACTTCCTCATGTTCATGCATGTGTGTGTAATTAGTTCTCATTAGAAAGCTCCTCTAGCTCCAAGTCCCCCTCTCTGGGTCTTGTGTTTTCACTATTGCGCGCATTAATTGGAACCGATTCGT